GCTTCGGGTTAACTTGTAATAATTTGCTGCATTGTTATGCTATTCATGAAGTATACACACTATAAAGTAGCTTCGAGTGAATACCTGACCATAAGTAACACGATATAGTGACACGTCATAGTTAATAAATATTCTTATTATCAATGATCATCAACAGCCTTTATTAGTCCACTGTTGGACATATGTCTTTCCTTAAAAAGGAGGTTTTGGCCTGGTATACCACCCTGGCCAGACGGGGTGGTATAAGGTTTCTTTCAAGTTTTCCTTCTCTATGCTGTGCTGTTGTCGTTCGTAGTTTGCTACCTTAGTCGGCTCTACGCCACCCACGGGATGAATGGAGGTGGTGGCATTTCGTATTCTTAATCCGTCACCACACGGATAATTATTCCTATTTCATCTTTAATTTAATCTTTAATTTAGAAGGATAAACTTACAAAGAAAGATTCATTGGAATGGGGAGAAGGAGTTAACAATCAATTAACCTGATATCTTCTCTTGAACTTTAGAAATGTGTACTTTGTATATTACCGCCATTACCACTTCATCGTTACTGTAGCCTTTTCTCTATGTAACTAAGTAACTAGTAGTACTACTTAGTAACGATATCACAGCTTAGGTTTTTCTATAACATACACTAGTCTCACACAATAGAAGAATAATTATAAGTGGTTGTAAAAAAACGCCATACATATGCAGGGTTTTTCAAAAATAGTTTTCTATTTCTGTTACTCCCTGTGTAAGTGACACACATGTACATCCATAATAATGACTATGTTTCCTCATAAATAAAATTATAAATTCCAAAAAAAATTGATACATCAGAAGTTAGAGGTACTATTCACTATTATTCAAATTCAACGAATATCGTGATAATTGGTCATAATATGTGGGTTTGGTCGTCACTTAGGGTAGACCTAAAAAAACAATATTTTCGGCGAATAATCATATTGACATAAATTACCGTTCACAAAAAAATGTTATGTAGTCAGCATCGAATAGAAAAGAGCTGTAAATATTTCGAAATAATAAGAAATAGATATAGTAGGGGGCCATATAAGAGATTTACTTAAACGCGTCATATCATGAGGAGGGACATCTTATTCTTGGTTGAATACCTCTGGCACATACGTGGATCGTGCGGCAGCCAATCAGAATTAGTAGAAAAAAAAGACCGATAGAAATACTCGAGCTCGTCAAGTTAAGGTCAGGTAGGTTAACTACAACTGAAAAGTGTGCATTTCATTAGTCTGATTATTAGAGCATGATGCAAGGGAGGGTAACAAATTTTCAAAAGAAACTAAACATTTTTAAACGCGGTCTATTTTCCTTTAATTTAGAGAATAATGAGGAAAATATAACTTATCATTTTTTTTGCTGATGTTAGCGAAGTTTAGTTCAATCTTCAAAATTCATGTTTTCAAATACTATTGGATAAAGGTAAGGCCCGTGCATTTGCGAGCAGGCAGTAAAAAGAAGATTGGATGTGTTAATAAAAGCCCTTCCTAACCTCAGTCCTGCTTCACGCACAGTGTGTCACACTAGTATGTTGTTTAAGCCAGTGGGGGGGTTATATAGGTCAGGCTTTATATTATATTAAAATAAAGCCGGAAAAAACTAATTTATCGGTCATTATGCAAATACAAAACGATTACCACACATGTATGGCGGTACCTCACTTGAGGACGTCTTGACCGACATGTTTCTTTTATGTATGTTCGTAATTGCTTTGGACAAGCTTTATTTAAAAGAAAAGCTCTTTACCTAAAATTTTTACTTTAGATATTGAATTTTTATTATGTGAAATATGGCACAAATTGAGTTTTGAAGTCAAATGTTTTATATAACCAAAAAGGGTATGTTTGAAGACCTTCCAACTGACCCTTAAAAATTCATTGAAAAATAATATAGATTTGTCAAGTGGAGGAATTAATTTCTCTAAATATTGTTATTGAATGTACATAAATATGTGAATGTGTAACAAACAAACTCACTTCACTTTTATAATATAAGTATGGAAGTATTAATTTTCTTTTAGCCATAATAAAGTACTGTTTCTGAGAATAAAAGAAATGGTCGTCTTATTTTTTATGGTACAGGGGGTCAAACGAGCAGACAGATAACCTGAAGGTAAGTGATCACCACCTGCAACTCCAGAGTCAGATGTTAGGTAATTTTATTTATTTATTTTATAACTTTCTGCACAAGTACATGCATCGCCGGACTTAATGCCTAAGGCATTCTCTGCCAGTCGACCGATTGGGCGATGCTGAAAAGAATGAGGTAGGTACATTTATGGCGGGAGGGGAGGGGGGGGGGGGTAATAAATGATAGAGGTTTTCTTAAATACCAACTAACTTAGATTTTGTGTATACATGTAAATACCACACACATACACATATAAACGTACATATACAGCCATACACATATATATTCATATATACATTACATTTTTTAAAAATATAATAATTTTAGGCGATGAACTAGGAGCTCGTTGAATCTGCCATTTCACTTAGCAAAAGCTCTTTCACTTGCGTCCTAAAAGAGTACCGATTTGTGGCCATCCTGCCAGGCCATTCAACCCCAGTGGTGTGAGAAGGACAGAGTAGAGGGAGATTGTTGGCCGTACGAAGGTTTCTATTGTGGTTATTGCATAACAGTTTTGTTAACTTTCCTTTAATTTCATTTTTATTTAATATAATTTTCAATGCTGGCATTTAATGCATGCTAGCATTTGGCCCGGTGCTGCCAATAATGCAGAGCGCATTATTGGCAGCACCGGGCCATAATGCGGAGGAATTGGACGCTTGTATGTGAGTATTGTAAATATTTTAATTTATTATATTACAGTGGACTGTGGTAAGCTGATGACGATGATATAAGCATCTGTTAATAGTAATGTAATCCGAACGTAAAAATTGAATAAATATTTAAAAGTTTCAATTTTATCTATAATACCGTGTGGGTTCTCAGTTTTATACTCTTCTGTCTATGTGATATTTTTCTTTCTTTGACCGCGCCTTATTTCATTACTCAGGATCAGCTTTCCGACTAACACTAAGTCGTCATTGTGCGTTGGCTTACGTTTTAGGGTGATTTACAGTACAGTGTGAAATGTATACCAATGCTAATAATAGCATCATTACAAAACAATTGACACAAAAAAACCTTTAAGAAAACAACAACAACTGCTCATTGAGACTGAGGAGTTAGCTATTCCGCAGACTACTTGATGCAGCAGCAGGTTCCAGGTTACCGTGTTGTGGAAATACCATCAAAGTAACAGTATACCAAATTCAGATCAATCGGACACGTGGATTTTAGTTAGATCCTTTCATCACCTAGGAAGTGGGCTGATGATCTTTAAAATATATAGCTAAGAACCATCTCGATCACATTGGATTACGAACAAAAAAAATCGCATCGAAATTGGTCCATCCGTTCGGGAGCTATGATGCCTCGGACAGACAGACAGAAACACAGATACGCAGATCCACAGGTTAAACTTATAACACCCCTCGTTTTCCGTCAGGGGTTAAAAAGAGGTAAAGTTAATAAGTTCGGGGTTCTGGTACTATTGATCCGATTTTTAAAATTCTTTCACTGTTAGAAAGGTATATTATCCCTGAGTGATAATTAAGTGATAATTAGTTTTATATAATTTCATATTAAGTACCTAATTAAGTTTGATGTGTCTGACTGTGGCATCATACCTCATAACCGAATAGACCAATTAAGATGCAGTCTTTATTGTTTGGAAGGTTTTGATGAAGAGATTTCACTAACTTACAAAACCCCTATTGATTGTAAATTTGGTGTATTACGAGTACTTTAGTGGTATTGATATGGTAACTTTGACAGGATTCTGTAGGCAAACCTTGGATTGATTCTGGTTTTGGGGATGTACCAACTTTTTTATTTCTCTTTTGTCATGAATTTATAAAATATAAATATTTATAAAATATATAGATTCTCGTTGTATTTGGAAAAATTATTGTTTTATTTTGTATTTGACTATAAATAAGATTATAGACATAGACTAGAGACATAGACATAGACTGTCCGTCAGATGACAGATTGAGAATACAGTCTCACCACCCCTATTCATACCATGCATGTCGTAAGAGTCGACTAAGGGAGGAAACTACACAGGACAACCGCATTGCGAAGAGAAGGAAACTTGAAAAAAATCCTTTACCAACCAGTTTGGTCAGCGTGGTATAGTAGGCCAAAACCTCCTTGGCTTGTATCCAGCAATGAACTACCAAAGGCTATCAAAGGATGGTGATGATGACATGTTTTTTTTTTACTTGCTTATTGACGTCACTTTGCTTCCCTCGAATACGTAACATGAGCGTATATTGTCAAGGACACCACTGAACCAAACGACTGGGGTGTTGTTTACAATTTTTTTTGGTGACGACGCCACCGTAATGAAGTTCTAACACAAATCTTGTTCATTTTTTTATGGTATACCTAATGGGGCAAACTAGCAGATGGATCACCTGATGGTAAGTCACTACCGCCGCCCATGGATACCACCACCATGCATTTATCGATATCCATTATTTTTCATTCGTAAGATTCACCATGATCATTTTAAAAAGGATATTCAAGAAGTTTCCAAAAGTTGCTTTAAAGATAGCAGTTGAAGTCAAACAAAGATACGGTGAAACAATAGTTATTGCATAAAATCGGATTAAGTTGTATAACATTAATTTAGTTGTTTTTTATGGTAATGGAAACAATGATTATGTTTTAGGAATCGCTTGTGAACTCGACCAATTTCAACATTATGATTAAAAATTAACACATAGCAATTTTTGATTTTTCACGGTATACAAGTCAGCAAATGTGTCATTACCAAAAAAAAAATTTAAACGACACCCGGTGTGCAATAGTTTAGTTTACAATACACGAACACGAGTACAAAATAATATATACATTCTAACAATGTGTAAATTATACCAAGTAATATTGACAAATCGTTAACTAATTCATACCTTTCGAAATATTCCCGTGGTATGTACCATGTGGCGGTGTGCGAAGGAATTTCGAATAATTCGCCTTCCATATTCATTGTTAAGTCTCTTGTCGCTTTTGGCAGTTTTCCATTATGTCGCGAACCTTCAATTCTTGCTTATAAATATATAAACTCTTCGCAAAATACTTCATCAAACTTTTTGAATATATTGACAACAGGGCATACAGTTAACTTTAATAAAAATGAAGTAAACTAAAATTACATCTTAAAAAACCGAAAATAAAATTAGGAACGTATTTAGGTTAAGTTATTAGTAAGTCTGTTTAGATCGAATGTTATAATGATGACGAATTTCAAATGAATGAAATACGAACTTTCAGCGAGTTACTAGACCGAATTTAAAATAAAAGAAGTGGAACAAAAACTGATTACATACTTTTCATCATCATCATTTCAGACGCGATAAGGTTATATTGATGTTAAGGTTATGAAGAGAGTTATCCTCAATGAAGCCCTAACAATGCGTAAGAACTTTTTTACGGTTTCAAGATTTTGATACCATTCGATGAATATAGATCACGCGTTTGGTTCCGACAATTCAGAAAGCAAAAAAACTAACTTATAGCACCTTATTCTTAAATAACACTGCTCTGCGTATGTGGTGAAACCACTTGTTCCACGCAGTGTACTTCAACGTGAGGTTTATTGACAAACAAATAACTAAATATTGTTAATAAAAACAGTTCCATCTTTATGTCAAGGACTACCACAAAATTTTGTTTAGTCTTCAGTGGAACAATTATTTCGTTTTCCTGTAAAGTAGACATTTTTCTTACTTATGTTTTATTAGAACTCCACTGATATTATTTCGATTTTCAACGTAAGCGATGATTACTTAATAATATATTGTTTAATTTCAACAAGGTGGGTATAATACTATTAATATTGTTTATAATATTACTCCTTTTATGTTTCTAAATTTTACTATATTTCTGAACACGGCACATTATAATAACTATGATTGTATCTCTAAACTAAAATACGTTTTGACAATAATGACAGACAGTTGTCATTAGTTCCAATTAAAAGTTGCTTTTATGATAAAGGAACTCTTTACAGGCCCATTTGTCACAGGGACCGGAATACTTTATATAATAATAAATAAGCACCTTTCGTTATATCGTCAAGAAATAACTTTAATTTCAAAGAACGTTTCAAAGAATGAAAAGCTTAAAGTACTCCGAAAGTTTTGCCGAAACAAATGACCTTGTAAGGCACTTGGTAGAGGGTTGTCAAACTATTACTAAGGGGCCTTTCGTAAATACCTCACAAACCAATGAAATAGCTTGTCTTTTCATTTCCGTAGTAAAGTTAGGAAGGTCGAAAATGAAAACGGTGAGTAGTTGTGCCCCATTAACGATTAAACGAATTCCGCCGACACTTCAGATAAAAACAGCGGAAAATGAACAAAGGCTTTGCTCGAGTGCTAATCTTTTGATTTAAAATTAAAGCGTGTAACTGAATTGAGATAACAAAATAAACAACAAAACGAATAATTGTGGAAGAAAATAGTGTAGAGAACCTTAGGTAAAGAGAGAAACAAGAAAAGCAGGGAAACAGAGGCAGAATTAACGGAAAAATTCATTATGTTCGATAGGCATGCTTAATTTGGTGCATATTATTTGTTTTACAGTATTTATATAGTCTTTACTGCTATTTCTATGGAAACATTTCTGCCGCACCTTATACGTGCTTCTGTTGTTCGTTTCGCAGTGGAAGTACTTGCATACTTGTGACCTTCAAAACACTGCCCGTCTTTCCTTTCATTTTATTTTTACAATCTGTGTAGTGTGTGTGTCATGTAAAAGTTCATATTAGTTAATGTTCAAATCATAACTTATTATACAAACTAATTAAAAACTGTTTTTCTTTTTGCTTAACGGATTAGAGCATGTTTTTTTTTTTAATGACATCCTTAGTGTCAGTTTCCATGCTTGCTTTGTACGTCTACTGCTAAAAACCTAACAGCAAATGATGCTATTAGTAATATTTTATAGTTAGTTAACTAAATTCTATTGTATCTAGTTAGTCTAGTTAGTTAACCAATACATACTCTCTATGTCTACGCTAAGGCCATATATATATATATTTCTACGTAAATTAAACATTACCTATATTTAGTCCGTTCTTTCAAGTCATATTTTATATACCAAAATCCAAGAGAGATTAGTGCGGTAGTTACATGTAAAAATGTATAAGAACTCCAATACAGGATTATATATGTACGGCCACCGTCGTTTTCACGCTTATTTATATTCCCGAACGTCCGCTATTCTAGGCTATCGCCGGCCAGCATTTACCCGACTAAACATTTTAAAGGTTTTTTATTTAAGCACTTAAATATTGTACAAATAAATTTTATAGTAGATAAGAAGAAAAAAAAAGTAAAACAAAACGGCGTGAGGAGTGATGGACCCCCGGTCGGAATGAAGTTCCTTTCGCTTTTTGGTAGACGTTTGCTATGGTGACGGAAAAATGTCTGGTTATACATTTTTCGGTCTTGTTCCATTCCACCGAAAGCGTGTAACGCGCGATAAAGAACTTTGTTCCAATATGGCATTTTGAAGCGTTTAAATAAATTATAAAACTCTGGGTATCCGCCTCAATAAACCTTATTGCACGCTGAAAGTGTTTGGCTATTTTATATTATTTGGAACCCAGTGTTTTCAAAAAAAGAGCATTTAATTCAAACGAAAAGAATACTGTCAATTTTTTCTCTGCTTCTTCAGTTTAATATTACCAGTCACTCAATACACATTGAAAATAGAATAAAAATTCTTAAAATAGTGTCGATCGTTATAAAAATTTCAAAGTAATGGTTTTCTTTACCCTACTACAATAATATAAAATTGTGTGAGTTGTGAATATCAAGTTTTGAATAACTCGAAAGAAAGATTTCAACGTTTTCTAGCTTTAATTTTTCCATAACTAAGTCGAATAACATGGATTGTGCATTCTGCAAACGTACGATGGAGGGCTGTGCGTCCATCAAGTGTAGTCTGTGTGCGTCGCAGTATCATCTGGAGTGTGTGAGTAGCGAGCACTTGGTGCCGAATACGAACAGCTGGCGGTGCTGCAGATGCGAGACGCTCGCCGCGGCGGCACCCCCCACGATCGACACGTCCGTTAGAGTATAATGTTGGAGTTTTTTAGTAAATTAATTGTGAAAGCCGTAATTAGGATATCGGAAATAAATGTTGTAATTAATTTTAAATCTTTTTATTCTCGCTAATTGTTTATTTTTTGAGGATAGTGTTCAACACCAAGCTAGGTTTGAATTTCTTTGTTTCTGCTACTACTGAATCGTCTTTGAATTTCAATACCGCTTAGCGTTGTAGCCACCAACGTACTTCCTGCTTGCACTAATTAAAACCTAAAATTATTATTTTGCCAAAGAATGTGACTTTGTTTTGCTACTTGGTAGTTTTTCAATTGTAGGACCAAATTCATACTTTCACTACATATTTAAGCCATTGCAGAGTATAGCCTCAGTAAGTATACAAAATCCTAGACAAGGTTAGAAGTTTTAAGAAATTTATTTAGACGCATGACTTTACGTTTTGTTTATAAAGAACGCAACTTTGCATAAATTGAACAAAATAGGTACTAAAACAAAAGTTGTAGAGAATTTTATTTGCAATAAAAATGTTTCACTATTTTTTTTGAGACCTATTGTTTGTCAGATATACCATAAAAACCATTTGGTCTTCCAAACAAATAGAACCCCCAAATGTAACTTTTCAATGGACCGTATCTAATATTAAAGGTAATTAATTAATGTATCGGTCTAGCAAACGGCAAGATCACGATGTGGTCGAGATCTGGTTATACGATGAGAATACTTTAAGCTAAAGATGTTTAACGATTATCGAACAAACGTGATAAAGTATCCCGTTTGGGAACAATTTTTAGGTAGATGTATAATTTTTTTGTGTTTATCATTGATATATATTTTACTACAATGTTAGTAGTACATACCACAGGTAGATTTTTTCCATACTACTAGGACATTTTTCCATAGTACCTACTAAACTGCTTGTTAGTACACACTGGCAAAAGTGACGACCGATTGGCGTAATGGTTTGTATATCGAACTGCTAAGCCAAAGGTCGCGGGTTCGATTCCCGCTCAAGTCAAATATTTGTGTTCTTGACAATGAATGACAATTGAATGTTTGATTTAGCCTGGGTGTTTTTATGTATAACATGTGTTTATCTACAAAAATAGTACTAGCTATGTTTAGGACAAGAAAGCATGGAGTAAGTCAAACCAAGGATAATTATTTTTAGACATTAAGTAGATGTCTAAAAAATGACCTATTTCGTCCTATGGCATCCATGTTCCATAAAACAAATGGGAACTACCGCTTGTTAAAAGGTATCTACCTACTTCGCGACTCACTGTAACAATATTTACCATATTGGTAATTTGCATATCTGATTGCCTGACGACCATGGAATAATATTTGTGCAAATAGTTTTGCGACCTGGCCCATAATACTTAGAATTAATTGATAGAATTGAGTATTGTATGAACTACTACGGTTGGTAGTTATGATTAACGTATAACATTTAATCTATATACATTCCATTCATTTAGATAAACAATTTTGTTTTAATGCATTGACGGTACAAAAAGTAACATTAGGTACGTAGATACACACAGCAGTATGGTATTAGTTTCTCGTCAAATGGTGGACAATTGTCAGAAGCCAATTTTACGGTTATGGGTATTGTGACTATTATTAATTTCTTTGCTGAAATGTGAAACCTTGAAATAGTTTTTATTACTAATAGTGTATTAATGGAATTTTTATCTCTATATTCACTCAACTAGCTGACCCGCGCAACTTCGTCTGCGTCCCTCAATAGTAATAAATTTTCTCCGTTTTTGAAACATTCTTAATTGGTGCTCCGCTCCTATTGGTCTTAGCGTGATAATATATAGCCTATAGCCTTCCTCGATAAATGGGCTATCTAACACTAAAATAATTTTTCAAATCGGACCAGTAGTTCCTGAGATTAGCGCGTTCAAAC